TGTACAATTTGGTGGATGAAGGGAGGGGCTTATGGAAATGGGAAAGATCTGAAAGGAACCTGAAAAGAGAGGGTAATGGTAGTCACAGTCCAAAGGTGGTTAATTTTATAAAACATAATGCATGGAAATGATTGTATTAAACACAAGGTGAATGAAGAATAGTGTGAAACACAATGTATACAAACTTTGTAAGTAAATCAATATAAAATAAAAATCCTACTTAAAAAAGAACTTTACTTAACAACCCCTGGTCTTTCCGTATAATCTCTTCTTGTCATCAAACATCGCAGGACCATTTGTTCCAGAGACTTTGAAAGTGATTTCATCTGTTCAAATCCCAGAATCATTATTTGTTTCACATATTTCTCAGTTTTACCAGTTTATCTAATTGTTGTTGTTGTATTATGTACTGTGAAGTCAGAATCAACTCTAACTGACCCTCCAGTGAGTTTTTAGAGGCAGACAATAACATGGGAGGTGATTTCCTATTTTTCTCCCACGAAGTAGCTGGTGGATTTGAACTGGGAGCCTTTGGGTTGGGTGCACAACTTCTTACCACTAAGCTACTAGAGCTCTTTAGAGATTTTTATAATAAAGCTAGTTTTGTCCCCAGTTCTGTCTACATTTAGTGTCTACTGGCCTAGGAATTCCAAGATGGCATCTTCAGAAAGTTTTTCTCTTAGGGGAGCTCTGGTGGCCTAGTGGCGAGGAGCTGCAACTACAATCCCAGAGGCAACCGGTTCAAATCCACCAGATGCTCTGCTGGGGAAGGAGGGACAATCCTCCTGTACCAGTCAGATCTGATTTGACGGTACACACACACAAAAATAATAAAATAAAATTTAAAAAAAAAAAGAAAGTTTTTCTCATTTCATTCTACACACTGCTAATTGAGAAACATATTTCTGTTAATCAAAAAGCATGGAGAAGAATATGGCATGACCTGGGTTTTTATCTGGGCTTGTGGAGTTGGACTTTTTATGGAGGCTGTCAATATATTGAGTTGTCTGTTCTTTTCTTCTAAGGACTTCACTGGTGCCTGAGCCAATCCCAGTGATCTGCACACAGAGGTCATGACAGAGTCCTGTGGTGGAAAACAGTTACTTCCAAGTCAGAACTTGCATTAAACACTACACTGTCACTGCTACTTATAGCTGTGTAACTTCTCTGACCCTCTGTCTCTTTCTCTGTTACGTTGGGATGATCTTCCTTCTATCTAGGGTTGTCGTAAGGATTCAATGAGGAAATGTATGTAAAAGACCTACATACAGCAGACATCCCATGAAGTTAGTTCCCTTTTCCTGTAAAACAGTGACCTCAGAAGACAGGCCTGAAACTAATACCAATGACTATGATCCCATTGTAGAAAATTCTTTCTTTTTCCTTTCAAAAATTTTCTTTAAAATAAAGCAAAGTAGTTATATCTGGATATTAAGACTAGTCTTCAGTGTTTCTCAACTTTTCTCCAATGTAATCTTTACATATGTTATTAAGAAATGTTTCTGAAATCAAACAGAAAAACCCTTCTATTTAGAGCAATTCATTTACTTCTTCATCGACTGAGAAAAGCTTTTGCTGCTATTACGTGCTGTTGAGTTGAAATGGATTTTATAAGGGACCTTCCAGCAGGTTTTCAGAAGCAACACATCACATGCGAGGGGATTGTCCAACGACTCCACGGGAGAAACTGCCTGCCTTTGGGTTGGCTCGCTAACTTATTACCACAAACCCTCAGAGTTCAAGAAAAACTTTTATAGGATAAGGGGTTGCTCCCCCCTTACTCTTTTTCATTCTGTAGCCACTTTTTCAAAGATATATCATGATTCTGTTTTAAGGACTCATATATTATCTAAATGTCAAAAGTTGTAGAGGGGCTTCAAACCTTTTGTTCTTAGGGTTCCTTTGAGTCATGCTTGACTCGAAGGCAAGCAACAACAAGAATGAGATAGTCTCCCTCCTCCATTTCTCTAATGTAAGAGTTCTAAAAACATGCCCTTACCTCCCCACCCCACCTAGAAAATAATAGCACCAACCACACCTAGAAGCTTTGCAGAAAGTCAAATTCTCAGGTTCAACCCCAGACCAATGGTGTATGAAATCATGTGGGTAGGGCCAGTAATGAAAGGTTACGGGGTGGTTCTGGTGGGTATATGAGTCAGATCGAATGCTCTACCATGATCCTTCTATCATCTATTCTTAAGAGTCAGTCCTGAGGAGTTGGTATCTCTCCTTGTTACATTCAACTTGCCTCCTCCAGCACCTCAAAGTGAGAGCTAGAAGCAAGTACTGATATGCCTGGTAAGCGTATCAGGACCACTAAAGTAATGCAAGACTAAGTATCTTAATTGAAATAGGTCTTTTCTAACAGCCTAGGAAGGAAGCCTTGTTTGTGGCCCTAGAGCTGCCTCAAGCTTCATTCTCATGGCTGATGCTGAAGTCCCCCAAGCCTGTAATGAGGGAAAAGTATGGGAAAGAATCTGGAAGGACCTGGGTTTTGATCTGTGCATGTGGACTTGGGGTTTTTATGGAGGCTGAGCTCTGGCATCAACGCGTCCACCACCCTTCCGTTCTCACCTTCCTCTGGACAGCAGCAGCGATTAGGACAGCAGGGACAGCGGATGTGGCAACAGCAATACTGAGGACAGCACTGGCACCAGCACAGTCCGATCAGCAGCAGGAGGAGGAGGCCTCCCAGAATGATGAAGATCACTGTCAGCCAGTCTGCAGGGGAGAAGGCAGACAAGGGCTGAACTAAACATCCGGGGACCAGGAAAGTAGGGGGATACTTCCAGTTCTAGCATCCTAGAGGCTACATAGATATAGTTCTTGAACCATAGGTTAAGACTAAGCAATACACCAGAACAAAAGAATTCAGTGTTCATATGAGAGTTTCAGTTGGTAATTCAATAACAATAACCTCACTTCACTTGTGTTTGCTTTTCCTGTATGTAAAGCAGTGTCACAGCGTGGAGTGGTCAAACAGAGAACACCAGGAGCACTTACGCAGGACAATGAGCTTCACTTCTTTATCTGGGTCACCTGACGTGTCCCCTGGTGCCTCAATGGTGCAATAATACACTCCATGGTCCCACCACATCACTTCATTAATCACAAGATCTGCTCCTGTACAGGAGGGAGAAGGTGGCACAGGTCAGAGGAGAGGCACTGTTTTCTGAGTGACAGTAGCTTTAAGACTCAAATGCTGTACTTCCACATGCTAAAAGGGCCCTTCATAGGTTTGAAAAAGGGCTTGATTCTTTCCTCTGAGACTCCTCTTTCTCCAAATAGCATTTCATTCTCACTGCAGTTCTATGAGTAGGTGAGGTAGAGATTACAAGTTGTCTTCCAGTCTCCTCAGAAGCGAGACAGTGATACTTTGTCTCACATACTTTGGACATGATAACTGAAAGGGCTGGTCCCTGGAAAAGGACATCATGCTTCATGAAGTAAAGGGTCCGTGAAAAAGAGGAAGACCCTCAATGAGATGGATTGATGTAGAGGCTGTAATAGGATGGCACAAGATTGGATGGATGGTACAAGATTTTTTCTCTTCACTGTGAGTTGAAGGTGACTTGATCATACCTAACAACAATAATGAAGACGACAACCCAGAGCCTATTTGTTTCTTGTCTCATGTTATTATATTATATTGCTTTTATGTTGCTTTGTGCCCTTAAGTCAGAACTGACTCATAGCTGAGTCTCTACAGTGAGTGTAAATCTCACAGGAAGAGAGTGCCATTTCCCCTGCAGAGCAGCTGGTGGATTCAAACTGCCTGGTTTTGGATTGGTAGCACAGCACCTTATCCACTAGGCCACTAGAACCCGTGTACATGACTATCCAAAAACTAGGTGGTCCCAGACTTAAAAAGGGGTCTGTTCTGGATGACTCCTATGTAAATCAGCTCTGATTTACGTTGAATACCTCATTTTTTTCTTGTTGATTTTTATTCTATTTTCCTTTTATTATCAGTATCTTTACACTTACAGACATGATAACATCAGCAAATGACATGTTTCCAACACTCTATGTAGTAGTACATATTACTAAAAATAAGATATACAAAACAAACCAAAAAAAAACCCAGAAGGTCCTATATGTGGTTTGTAGATACTAAAATATGTTATAAATTGAGTACTACGATAACTGTGGAAGGAGGAGTGGCATCCAATTCCATAATAGCTTGCCTCCGGAAACCCTATGAACTTGGAGAGAGGATGAAAGGCACCCAAGCATCGAGGACCCTCCTTTACAGGGTCGCTATGAGTCGCCTGCGACTCGACGACACTTAACAACAACAACTACAATAATTATGTCAATATTTCCCATTCCTTCTCACAGACAGACAAGGTCATATGACCACTCGTTCTCATCAGTGAGATACAAGCACATACTGGTTCTCTGGAACTTTCAAAAATCAGTCAGTGAACACTAATTCTTTCATCTTTTTTTTTTAAATTTCTTTTATACTGTTTTGCAGATAAAATTCATACTCATTGTGTTCACACTTTCCTTCACTCACATTGTGTTTCATACAATCATTCCTATATAATGTGTTTTACAAAATTAATCATCATTGAACGATGCCCCCTATTAGCCCATCTTTTCAAGTTCTCACTAGATCTTTCCCATTTCCTTTCCCCTCATTTCTCTCTTCTTTATTTTTTCATCTAACCTGATCCAAGCCATAGTCTTTGCAATTATATGCTATGCATCAGAAAGCTGGACAATAAATGACTACGGATTATGGAAGGAGAATTGATGTCTTTGAGCTGTGGTACTGGAGAAGAGTATTGAAAATACCATGGACTGCTGAGAGAACAAACAGGTTCATCCTTGAGAGGGTGAAACCAGGCTGCTCCTTGGAGGCAAGGATTCTGAAGCTTCATTTGACAAAATTTGGACATGTTGCAAGGAGGAGCCAGTCCTTGGAGAAGGACGTCACGCTTGGGAGGTTGGAGAGACAGCACAGGAGGGGAAGACCCTTGATGAGATGGATTTATTCAGTGACTCGGGTAATGGGGTAGATGTGTCAGAGACAATAAGGTTGGCTCAGGATAGAGCAGGGTTAAGAGGTGTTGTACACATGGTTGCTATGAGTTACAGGTGACTTGATGGCACATAACAACAACAACCACCTCCTATCATGGAAGCAAACATGTTGCTTGTTGGATCATGAGGAAAAAGAAAACATCCTTGATAACCTGGAAGGAGCTTGGGCCTCTGAGGAGTATTTGCTCCTGAATTGAGGGCCAGAATCTTCTTCATTGTCTAAGTCACTGCCATATTACGGCTCATATTTCTTTATATTATTTACTTGCAGTCAAAACTGTTTCTAGTGGATACAGGAGAAATTACCATTAACCCTACTTACAGAGGACAGATTCATATGTAAAGAAGTTATAGTCTGCCTTAACAACATGCAGGGAATGAGTGGCAGAAGTAGGTTCAAAACCTTGTCTTCCTGATGGTGTTCTTAGCCACTAAGAGGGTCAACAAACACAGGTCTTCACCTACAAGTTAAATTTAGCTTTTCCCTTTTCAAACTGGACAGAAAACTTCAGTCTGGATCCCTTCATTGTGATTAGATGCTATCAAGTCAATGACGAGTCATACCAACTTAGGAACAACAGATGAAAATGTTTCTCCTTCCTGCACCATCCTTTATAATCTCCTCCATGCTCGAAATCATTGCTGCAGTCACTGTGCCTACCCATCTTGTTGAGATTTTCCTCTAATTTGCTGACTCTGTATCTTCCCCACCATGGTGTCGTTTTCCAAGGAGCCCCCAGCCGGGATCCCTTACCCTCCTAAAATGAGAATATACATCTTAATCTTAAGGCAACAGATACAGTAAGCTTAATAAGTAAGAATGAAATGGCAGTATTTTAATAAGAGTATATGCTAGCCAAAGAAAGAATTTCAGTTCTTCTGAACACCAAATGCTCTGCAGCCTTGTTGTTGTTATGTGCCATCAAGTTTTTTGCGTCTCATAGCGACCCTATGTACAAGAGCCCTAAACGTCGTTCTATCCTGTGCCAACCTCCACTCACAGAATCGATCCATCTCATCGAGGGTCTTCCTCTCCTGC